GTGGGTGGGCCCGGCCCCGCCGGTAACGTCAAGGCCTGGGGCCCACCGATGACGGGCAAGGAAATGGCGTTTTTCAAGAGAGGCGACGCCGCCTCCGAAGAAGGCCCGGAAATGGTGGCCGTCCTGGAGAAGGCGAACGGCGCCGCCTCGGGGCTGTCCTTGTCGGAGTCGAAGCCGCCGTCGGTGCGAGGGAGGAGGTGGAATTTGCCCTGGAGGAAGGAGATGTCCCCGAACATGTCGGCCTCGCCGCCGCTGCCGATGTGGATGGTGTGGCGGAAGTCGCCCAAGGGCGGGCTGATCATGTCGGAGGAGAGGATGTCGCGGAGTTTCTCCTTCTTCCCCTTCCGCCCGCCGCGTTTCAGGTAGATCGGGGCCTTGGCGGACATGACGGCTCTTCCGCAAGGGGGGTTGCGACTCCTAGACCTCAGCGGGCCTCGGAAATAACCTGGAAAATTCAAAGGAAATAAGAAGGAATGGTTAAAAGGAAGTTACGAGGCGGGGCTTCGAAATTATTTGCAAAATTTAACTGAAAAAAAAGGAAGAAATATGGCTTAAAAATTGTAACGTGTAGGATGGAGACCTTCAGCAACGTGGACTTGGAAAATAACCTGGAAAATTAAAGATAAATAAGGAAAATTGATTAAAATGAAGTTGCAATGTGTAGGATGGAGATGTTCAGCAACGTGGACTTGGAAAAATAACCTGGAAAATTAAAGACAAATAAGGAAAATTGATTAAAATGAAGTTGTAATGTGTAGGATGGAGATGTTCAGCAACGTGGACTCGGAAAATAATCTGGAAAATGAAATTTTAAAAAGGAAAAATGCTGAAAATTGAGTTATAATTCATAGGATGGAGACCTACAGCAACATGGACTTGGAAAATAACCTGGAAAATTAAAGACAAATAAGGAAAAATAATTAATATCAAGTTATAACTCCTAGGATGGAGACCCTCAGCAACGTGGACTTGGAAAATAATCTGGAAAATGAAATTTCAAAAAGGAAAAATGCTGAAAATCAAGTTATAATTCATAGGATGGAGACCTACAGCAACATGGACTTGGAAAATAACCTGGAAAATTAAAGATAAATAAGGAAAATTGATTAAAATGAAGTTGCAATGTGTAGGATGGAGATGTTCAGCAACGTGGACTTGGAAAAATAACCTGGAAAATTAAAGACAAATAAGGAAAAATAATTAAAATGAAGTTGTAATGTGTAGGATGGAGATGTTCAGCAACGTGGACTTGGAAAATAACCTGGAAATTTGAATTTTAAAAAGGAAAGTGCTGAAAATTGAGTTATAATTCATGGGATGGAGACCTACAGCAACATGGACTTGGAAAATAACCTGGAAAACTAAAGACAAATAAGGAAAATGGATTAAAACAAAGTTGTAATGTGTAGGATGGAGATGTTCAGCAACGTGGACTTGGAAAATAATCTGGAAAATGAAATTTTAAAAAGGAAAAATGCTGAAAATTGAGTTATAATTCATAGGATGGAGACCTACAGCAACATGGACTTGGAAAATAATCTGGAAAATGAAATTTCAAAAAGCAAAGATGCTGAAAATTAAGTTATAATTCATAGGATGGAGACCTACAGCAACATGGACTTGGAAAATAACCTGGAAAACTAAAGACAAATAAGGAAAATGGATTAAAACAAAGTTGTAATGTGTAGGATGGAGATCTTCAGCGACGTGGACTTGGAAAAATAACCTGGAAAATTAAAGGAAAATAAGGAAAAATGGTTAAAATTGAGTTATAACTCATAGGACGGAGACCCTCAGCAATGCAGACTTTAAAAATAATATGAAAAATTAAAGAAAATTAAGGAAAAATGATTAAAAACAAGTTATAATGTGTAGGATGGAGACCCTCAGCAACGCAGGCTATCAAAATAATATGAAAAATTCAATTAAATAAGGAAAAATTACGAAAACAAGTTATAACTCATAGGACGGAAACCCTCGGCAACGTGGACTTTGGAAATAAGCTGGAAAATGAAATTAAAAGAAGGAAAAATGCCTCGGAGCAGGAGATCCTGAACCTCGACCCGTCCCAGGAAATGAATTCCAGACGCTCCCTATCTCAAGTTCGTTGGCTGCGTTATCGCTAACGAAGCGAGGCAGGTAATTAAATCCAGGCGCTCGGGGCCTCGCCTTCGGATTCGCTTCGAGCGAGAAGAAAAATGAGGAGAAAAAGCCAAGATTTGTGGGTTTTTAGGGGGGGAATCGGGGAGAGAAAAGCGTCAAAGTGGCTTTTTTAGCCAAAAAAAGTGATTTTTAAAAAAGATATTTCATTATTCCCGGTGGAATATTGCGTAATTCAGCCCCACCCGACACATGAAAATGAAAAATACTGAAGATGAAGGCCAAAAGGGGAAGGAAGTTGGGTTCCCCTCCCTGTTTTAGTCGTTTTCGTTCATTTCTGACAGGTTTGGCTGTGATTTCGCAGCAGCCGGGGAGAAATTAAGGCCAAAAATGGGCATTTTGGGCACTGATAAACGTTACGTGGAAGTTTGATGGGACAGAAAAAGGGGTAAAACGGCTTCCAGACCATGTAAATATTAAATCTTAAAATCAGCGAGTGGAAAAGTGCAGAGTTTTACCCTTTATCGGTTGTTTTTTGGGGAAAAAATTCACTTTGCTCCACGTTTCTATGAAATTGAATCTGATTTGACGTCGGCCGCAAGGATGAAACTGAATTTATTGGGGATTTGGAGATGGGATTTGCCGGATTCCCTTAAAATTTGTCCTTAAAAATATAGTATTTGTTATTATTTAATATATAATA